TAAATATTACGTTGAAAAATTTTAAACTTAAAAAAACTATCATTTTTTTTTTCCTTTTTTTTTCTTCCTTTTTTTTCCTTCCTTTTTTCTTTCCTTTTTCTTATCGATGTAAAATGAAACGGTTAAAGAAAAAAAAAATGAATTTTTATATAAATTTATGAATAAAATTTTCTTTTTCTCTCTCTCTCCTTCTCTCTCTTCCTTAAAAAAAAAAAAAAAAAAAAAAAAAGTACACAAAGTCGTTCGTTTGTTCGTTCGTTCCTTCGTTTTCGTCTGGATCGTTTTTTGAAATTTAATGAATAATTATTATTATTATTGTTATTATTATTATTGTTATTATTATTATTGTTATTATTATTATTGTTATTATTATTATTAAACGAATTGAACGAGTACAAAAAACAAAAAAAAAATTAATAATAATAATGATAACGACGATGATAAAAATGATAAAAAAAATATTTTTTTTTATTTTTTTTTCTCCAACATTTAAATAATTAAATATTTTTCCAAAAAAAAAAAATTTATTTATGTAAAATTGTAACAATAATAATAATAATAATAATAATTTTGTTATTTAATATTATGTTGGCTGCACTGGTAACGTTTTCGATCGGTAAAAAGAAAAAAAAAACCGTTAAAAAGGACATTAACCGAATTTAAATCGAAAAATAAATTTTCTATCTTTTCTTTTCGTTTTTTTTCGATTGGTTATATCATTATTATTATTATTATTATTATTATTATTATATTAATATCTCTCTCTCTCTCTCTCTCTTTTATGTGTCACATTTAAAAATTTAGTATTATTGCAATTTTCACATAATTTAATATTTTATTGTTTAAAAACCCGAAAAAAGAAAAAAAATTTTCCAGGTGTTTTTTTTTTTTAAATTTTCTCACGGTTTTTTTTTTTTTTTTAAAAAGAAAACCGTTGAAAATTATTATTAATTTTTTGACATTTTAAACATTTCTCTTTCTCTCTCTCTCTTTCTCTCGTGTTTAAACGTCCGTATAAATTCCCATAAAAAAAAAGGAAACGAAAAAAGGAAAAAAAAAAAGATATGAGTTATACATTGGTAAATGATGGCATAATAAACATTTTGTTATAATCGACCCTTGACATAACCGGAAGTCTATTAACTTTAAAAAAAAAAATTCTTCTCTTCCTTCTTCTTCTTCCTCTTTCCCCCTCCTACCCCCATCTCTTTTCATCCCTTCCGAAAATGACCCCGAAACAACAAAAGATCATTTATTCTCTCCGGATGTTTTTCTCTCTCTCTCTCTCTTTTTTATATATATATATATATATAAAAATTTTTCTTCCGTTACAATGAAACTTTGTAAAGAATGAAAAAGGAAAAAAAAATGTATGTATGTATATATATGTGAAGAAAATGGTTCAGGAGGGACTTTTGGAAAGGGGGAAGAGGGGGAAGGGGGCACGCGAAAAAAAAATAAAAGGAAAATTAGCGGTCATATGCAGAATTAACTTTTTGGAACCTTTGAAACTTTCCGTCGTAGAGCGGAAAGAGGAAACGGAAAAGAGAGAGAGTGCGTGTGCGTGTGCAAGTGCGTGAGAGAGAGGGTAAAAGGGCGGGAATTAAATTTTTTGTTAATACCAACAACAACCACCAAAAAAAAAAAAGAAAAATTTAAATGAAAATAAAACAAAAAAATAAATTAAATAAAAATTTTTCATTTAATGTTTTTTATATATATTTGAAAGCAAACATGGTCGTTTAAACGTTTACCCCTCTCTCTCTTTCTCTCTCTCTCTCTCTCTCTCTCTTTCTTTCTTTTACTTTCTCTTCACCAAAAGTTTCCACAAATTGGATAAAATTGAAAAGATAAAAGAAAAAAATTTTTTTATTTTTATTTTTATTTTTTCCGTTCGGTCTCTTCTCCTCTCCTCCTTTCCTCCCCCCTTGTACCACTCGCTTATTCTTCTTTTTATATATATACACGCGTATATAAAAAAAAGCATAACTTTATTTTTTTTCAGGATCGTTTTTGAAAATTGAAAAGGACACTCTCTCTTTAAAAAAATTTTCTTTTTTTTTTTTTTTTACTGTTAGGAAAATGGGAGAGAACCTTAAATGGATTTTAAAATCGAAAAATATAAATTTTAACCGAAATTGCGAATTTTTTTTTATTTTATTATTATTATTATTACTATCTCTCTCTCTCTCTCTCTGTCATTTCATATTAACCTTTCCCACATCATTCTCTTTCTCTCTCACTCACTCTTTTCCTCGTTTTTTCCATCCATCCTTTCGAGTTTTCCTTTTTTTTTTTTCAATTTTGATACTAAAATGAATTAATTTTAAAGGGTTTCTTTTTTTTTTTTTATTTAACTCGAGGGTAATTTTTTCACCCCTCTCCCCCCACTTTTTTTTTTTTTTTTAGATAAATCGGTTTAATTATATTTTAATAAAAATTTTTTTTCTTCTTCCTGTGGAAAATCTTCAATCATTTATTTTATTTTATTTTTTTCAAACGTTAAATTTAACCGAGAGGGGGGGAGAGGGTGACGTTGTGTGTAGGGGGGGGGGTAAAAAATTATTGATGATTTTTATGGTAATTTAAAGAATATAAAAAAAAAAAAAATTTGGATAAAGAAAAAAGAAAAGTGTCGGGAAAATATAGTTTGATTAATAATTTTTCTTTTTCCCTTTGGAAAAATTTATTTATTATTTATCACACGCGAAAAGTTGTTGTTGTTGTTTGTTGTTGTTTTACTTGATGCCTTCGAGGTAGGTTTTTCGTTATTGTTTTATAAAATTTTAATAATAATAATAATAATTATAATTTTCAATTTCCCACAACGATTTTAATAACTTTAATAATAATTAATTTTAGAAAACGTTTTTAATAGTTTTATTAAAAAAAAAAAAAAGGTTACAGTTACGTGATTTTGTCGTGTAAATAGAAACGTGGAAGTAGAGAGAGAAAAAAAAAATTATTAATAATTTTTTTTATAAAATCGAATCCATTTATTTATTTATTTTTTTTTTTTACGTACGTATAAAATCATTCTAGAATGTTCGTTCGTTCGTTCGTGAAACAACAAAGGGAGTTATAAAAATTTATAACAAAAAATTTTCTTTTTTTTGGGGAGATTTAAAAAAAAAATAACCTACGGTTACCGTTCGTGTGTAAAAAAATTTTCTCTTATATTATTTTGTCTTCAGGTGAAAAATTGAAACATCTTCTTTCCAGTTTTATAGCTGGTGAGGAAAAAAATAAGTAAAAAAAAAAAAAAAAAAGGATTAGAAATTATTGTCAATTTTAACACAACAACCATTTTTCTTATATTATATATATATATATATATATATATATATATATATATATATATATATATATATTTTCTTCTGCTTCTTGTTCTTTTTTATAAATTTTTTTCTTTCTTTTTCTTCTTTCTGGGGGGTGAAAAACAGCAAAAGAAGAAGAAGAAGAAGAAGAAAAACATTTAAAGACGCCATTTTGTTTTTTTGTTAAAATTTATTCGTCATCGTTGTCGTCTCGTGAAAATTCCAGAAAAAAAAAATTGTTTGTGTCTCATCATTATTATCATTAAAAAAAACTGTTCGGTTGTCGTTAACAACAACAACAACAAACAACCGGGAAAAAAAAATTTTTTAAATAAAATCATGGGGGAAAAAATTATCAAACAAATTTTATGTTATATTTAAGAAGTTAAAGTAAATAAAAATTAATTAAAGCAAATATTTAACCTTAGCAAAAAAAAGAAATTTTTTTTAATTTTTCTACTAATCGATTTTATTGACGGAGTTAGTAAAAAAACGTTTAAGTTTTTTTTTATAAATAAATAAATAAAAATAAATTATTATTATTATTATTATTATTATTAAATAAATAAATTTTAATAAAAATACGTTTAATGTTTTTATTTATTTATTTTTTTTTTAAGGATTGATTTAGGGATAAAAGGAGACTTTGAATAAACGAACCTTTTTTTTTTTTTACTTTTCGGGGAGGAGGATGAGGGGGATGAAGGGTTTTTTACGACTCCTCGTGTTCGACTTGAGTGTTTTTATTTAATAAAATTTGTTCACCTTTTGCATCATTCATAAAAAAAAAAATTTTTTTGCTCGTTGTTGATTTATAAGAGAAATAAAATAAAAAAAAAATTCGTTGAGTTGCTGCTGCTGCTGCAGCATCCCCCTCCCCCTCAGCAACATCAGCAGCAGCAGCAGCAACATCCGAAATTTTTTTTTTGTAGTTTTTTAATTTTAAAAACTTTTTGAAAAAAAAAAAAAAAAAAAAAAAAAAAAAATTTTTTTTCCTTTTTTTTTTAAAAAATTTCATTAAAATTTTTTTGTTTTATTTTTTTTTCGCGTCTTCTGCTAAATCAAATTTTACCAAAAAAAATTTAATTTTACTTATTTGATTATTAAAAAAAAAAAAAAACAATTATTATTATTATCGATACTTTTTTTTTTTTGGGGGGGGGGAAAAATTACGAGGAGGAAAAGAAGAAAAAAAGTGTAAAAAAAAAATTACAAAATTTTTTTGCTTTTTTTTTTTGAAAAGGTGGGGAAGGCGACAACAGGCGAGATCGTAGGCGAGGGGAGCGGGGGGAGTGGGGGGTTGCAAGAGGGCAACAGTTTTACGACCATTAAGCTTAGAAAATAAATTAAAATTAAGGTTGGATGAAAATGGTAAAAGAGTTTTTAAAGTTATTTAATCTTGTTTAATATCCATTTATTTAACTAAAAATATCTCTTCAGACCGACTGACTGCTGTTACTGTTATTATTATTATTATTATTACTATTATTACTACTATTTCTTACACTTTTGTTCTTGACACCACCACCATCAACACCATCGTAAAAAAAATGCGTCAAATTACTTTCTCCATTTTCTAAAAATTTTCCCGACCTCTTCTCCCGTCTAGCCGTTGAATTTTGTTTTTATATCATCATCATCATCATTATCATTATTATCATTTCGATGTTTAATTAATTTCAGTACCGCCCGATATAATTGACGAAGAAACAAGTTCGGATGTGACGGTTAGAGAAGGTGAAAATGCAACATTAATATGCCGTGCCAAAGGTCATCCCGTGCCTAGAATTATATGGAAAAGAGAAGATGGCGATCATTTATTGTTTAAATCAGGTCCAAGAGAAATTATAAAAGGTAAACATTTATCTATATTTTATATTATATTTCAGTATAAATTTATATTAAATAAAAAATATATATATAAAACGAAAAATTTAATAATAATAAAAAAATCAATATTATATATAAATAAATTAAATAAAAATCATTCTTTCGTTACATATAAGATTTTTTATCGGATAAAAAAAAAAAATTTTTCTACTCTATGCCCACAATTAATTTTTTTTGTCGCCAAAAAGTAAATTTTTTTTATAACACGCTCTTCTCATTTCTCTCTCTCTATGTCTCTCTCTCTTCCTCCCTCTTTCTTCCTCCGTATCCGAAATTGAAAAAAAAAAAAAAATCAAATTCGTTTACATATTATTGCATTTAGTGTCTGTCGTTTTACGTGCTGGAAAAAAAAACAAAATGTCATCCCGATTGATTGCTAAAGTTAATGAGAAAAAAAAAAAAAAAAAAACGAAACGTTTTCCGTTTTTTTTTTTTTTTTTACTTTATGACTTTTACACGGATTTTTTGTTTTTGTTTAACACACCGACCACCATTTTGTTTTACAAAAATTTAAATTATTTTAAAATTGATTCTTTTTTTTTCGTTTTATTTCTTTCTCCCCCTTTTCCCTCTCCTCTCTCTTTCTCTTTTTACGCACTATTATCATCATTAGTCTTTTTGTAAATTTCATCCCTTTAGAACGAAAGAGTTAAGGAAAGAAGTAGGGGGAGGGGAGGAGAAGGGAGGGGAAGGGAGAAGGGGCATAAAAAATTTCAAATTACTTTTTTTTTTTTTTTGTACCCCGAAGTTATTGTTTTTCCGTTAAAACCGAATAAGGGATTATTATTATTATTATTATTATTATGAATATACATATTTTTTTTTCGTTTCATGCAGTTTATTATCATTCCAGAAACGACATGATGACGGTGGTGGTGGCGGTGGTGGTAAATTCTGGAATAAATTTTTTTTAGTTTTTCCGGCGGTTGTAAAAATCAATACTTGACCATCATCGGGGCGGTCATTTTTTTATGTAATCGATCGTAAAAAAAAAAAAAAATGGGTTCCCCACCGATTTTATGAACCTTTTTTCATTTTTTTTTTACTCCCTCATTTAAAAAAAAAAAAAAATGTCTTCCCGTTTTCTTACCTCTTATTTTTATCGTCCGACAAAAAAAAAAAAAAAAAAAAAAATTTAAATAAAACGACGTCGCAGTAATAATAATGCTGTCAAAAAACTTTAATTTTTTATTGTTAGTAAACAAACAACAACAACAAACATATCAATGACATTAATAATAATAATTAAAAAAACCGTTAGACATAAATTATTGTACTTTTTCCAACATAATAAACTAACTAAACGCCGCAATCGAACTAATTTTTGCGACATTTTTCCCTTTTTCTTCTTCTTTTTATGTAAAAATAATCGGATTTACTTTAATTTTTTCTTTTCTTTTTTTCTTTTTCTCTTTCTTTTATCATTATTATTATTATTATTTATTTAAACGAATGCAAAATAAATTATTATTATTATTTACAACAATTTAAAAAGTTTTAATTAATTTCTTTTTTTTTTATTTTATTTATAAATATTATTTTCATTTATTCAAGCACAGCCTTCTTTAAATTATTATTGTTCTTATTATTATTTAATAATTAACGCAAATAAATTTAATTATTTTATTTACGTTTAAAAATTTTTTTATTTAAAAAAAAAAAAAAAAAAAAAAAAATCTTATTTCGTTTGTTTAATTAACAATAAATAATAATTATTTATAAAATAAAAAAATCACGTGACTCGTAACAACTCCATATTTAACAGTAACGAAAGGGCGAGAAGTGCGAGTTTAGTAATTTTTAAAATAAAAAAATAAATAGTTATTTATTAAATAATAATAATAATAATAATTTATATTTAACGTGGAAGTATAATTACGTAATAAATAATAAAATTATTTGTCGCGCCGCCATTTTGGTTCACCGTAAAAAGAAAAAAAAAAAATTTTTTCTCCGCGTTTCTTTCTCGTAAATTCCGCCATTTTGTTTTCTTTTAAATTACCCCCATTCCCCCCCCCCCGTACGCTCTGGTTAATAAACAAAATTTAAATTATTATTTTTATTATTATGATTTATATTTGTTTAAATTGTTTGTTAATAATGATAATAATAATAATAAATTAAAAAAGTTATTATTATCATTTAAAAGAAGAAAAAAAACTTTACGTATAAATTGCGACACGTTGAAAAGACATTTTAAATGTTTTCATTCATTGTTTTTTCTTTTTGTTTTTTTTATTCGTAACTGATTTTATTAATTTTTCTTTTTCCACGTGTAATTAACAACAGTTGATTCGCATCTTAGTGACACGTACAGTTTGACAAAAGTTAGCAGAACTCAAATGGGTGCTTATCTTTGTATAGCATCAAATGACGTACCTCCGGCCGTTAGCAAAAGAGTCGTTTTAAATATTAATTGTGAGTATATTTATTTATTTATTTAAACATTTTCTCTCTCTCTCTCACACACACTCTATTAAAAAAAAAATTTTTTTTGTTGATTTTAGTTGCTCCATCAATAAAAATTCCAAATCAATTACTCGGTGCTCCATTGGGTACAAACGTTTTACTAGAATGTCACGTTGAAGCATTTCCAAATACAATTAATTATTGGATGAAAAATAGAGGTGAAATGTTACTCAACGGGTAAGTAATATATAATTACTAATAATAATAATAAAATGAAAAACAAAAAAAAAAAAAAAATAGAGAATTTAAACAACAGCATCTTCTCCATTTTTTTTTTTTTTAAAAAACTTTAATTCCTACTTTTTTCTTAAAAAAAACTTTTTTTTTTTTTTATAAAAAAAAAAGAAAAAATCAATCATTTGAAAAACAATAAAATAATCCAAAGGATTAACCAAACTTTAAATTACATTAAAAAAAAAAAAAAAAAGAAAATTTTTTAATCTAAAATAATTTTCTTTTTTTTTAAATCCTTCAATTTAATTTAGCCTATTGAAAAGAAAAGATTTTTAGACAAAATAAAAAAATTCTTTAGTTTTAAAATAAAATAAAATAATTTTTTCCCTTTTTTTTTTTTTTTGCTGACAACAGCGTGAAAGTTAACAAATTAAGTAATTTCTAAATCAGTGGTCAGAATTAGTAGAACTTACCGGAGGGAACAAAAAAAAGTTAAAAGTAAATTTAACTATTTTCTCTGAAAAGAAAAAAAAATTTACTTAAAGCACAAAACTTTATTTTACAGAAAAAAAAAAAAAAACTTTTTTACTTTAAAGAAAGAAAATTCTTTTTCCCCTTCCTCCCCTCCACCTTCCCTCCCCCTTCCCCCTTCTTATTATTTCACCCGAAAAACAAAAAAAAAATTTATTAGAAAATTAATTAAAAATAAATAAATAAACAACGTAAACAAAATTTTAAATATGACGTACGTACGTTAAATACGTTCGGAAAATATTTTTCGCGAGGTTGCGACAATTCTCCGTCGTAACGTCGACAAATTTTTCCTAACCCCGCCCCCTTCCTTCAACCGAACGATCGAATTCACATTAATTTTATTAGTTCGCTGTGAATATGTTGCTCATTCGTTGTGAATTACATCGCGTTGTGTATTTTTTAAAATTATTCAAA